CTGTTAATAAATGGCCCCTTATACCTAAAATGCCAAGTGACCATCTCAATTACTGGGTCATTGGCTGTGAGTAATCTCAGTGACCCAACCCACTGATTTCTACCTTGAATAGAAAGTCTTTTGAGATCAAAAGAATTTCCTATTGTTCTGGTTAGCATCATTTTAACTTTGAAATTGGCTTGTTTTCTTTTACTCTAATAATGCTAAAGAGAACTCAAGCTTGAAATTCTGACACATCCATACAACCAGCCAGAGAACACGTCAGTTGGCATCATAATAGATTGATATAAATAGTCATTTAAAAATAGAGATTTTTTTAAAGAAATTATATAAAAGTTAATAAATGGCCCCTCAGTTCTTGCTTCCAGGATTCGGAAATTGGAACCCACTCTACCTCTCAACAGTTAATGCTCTATTGTGGGCAGCAGCTTTATATAAGTGTCTTACTAAGGCAAATCTGATCAGAATGTGTGTGTATAATTAAAAAAAAAAACAAATCTTTAGAAGCATGGATTGGCATCAAACTGCTATGGCTATATTTACATGGTTGGAAGATTTCAACTGTCAGGTTTGATCATCCAATGCAGAAGAATAAACTGTTGGCATAATACAATAATAAGAAAACATACATCTTTGAGAAGTTTTGTTGCATGTTTGTCATATGTGCCCCCCCCCCCCCACAAAAAAAAAAAAGGAAAAAACAAACAAAAAGACATGCTGTACGTGCAACATATTTGCTTACATTCCAGACTGTCTTAGTGCTTGAACTTCTTGGACAGGTCTTGCAGTATCTTGACTCTTCCTTTGGCACTAAGATACATTCTTGTGCTATGATACACCTAGCCACTGATGGTTTCTTTACCCTAGACTTAGGCAGAAAAGACAGAAAACTTCCTCCTGGAGCCCATTTTTACTAACTAACAAGAAAGACTAAAAGGAGCCTTTGCAGAAATATTCAGTGTCTGCTAAAATCCATCCAACCACCAAAAAAAATCTGTTGAAATAGATATGACAGCATCTGTGCCTGTCTCCAAGCTCCAATGGTGAACTCAGGAGCATAAAAATAAAGCCTCAGGCCAAAGAAGCCCAGACATAGAGCCCTATTGAACCAATTCTGAGTTGGCTGCTAGTGCTGTTGATAGACTGGGTCTGATCTTGGTCAGGGTAGAATCAGTTCTGAACCAATAAGTAAACGTGCAGGACTAGTCCCAAACCAGACCCTATTGGGTCTTTAATAACAAACCAAAACCAGCTCAATCATTAATTGGAATTATTGGATCTGGCCCTAAACCCAATTACGATTGACAGCCATCCTTTTTACCCTTTATTTAACAATAAACTACTCATTTGTTATTGAGGAATGTGGATATGATAATATGATAATATTACAAGTATACTACAAGAAAGATAGATATTAGACTGGGGTATCTTTGTAATGTGCTAATATACATAAAAAGGCAATCACCCAATGTTGGTCCCAGCTATCTGAGGTCTTGGGAGGGGTAGACTGGTTATGGTCCTAACTTTTGGTACTCATTTTTTTCACACAAAGTGGCCGTCCACAGACTCGAACCCACATAATGCTCACTTTAACAATAAACTACTCATTTGTTATTTTTTTTACATAATGCTCACTTTTAGTCCATTTCTTTGCTTATCAATTCAGCTTTAGCAAGATTTATCCTTATTAATTCAAATTTTACTTATTCTCCTTTTCCTGCTAGGATTGGAAATCCTGTATTTTACATATCCATACGATTGAGTCCTTGGGTTTCMKARATAGTGTAAAAAGAAGTGCTTCGAATCATTGCTATTTGACTCGGACCTGTTCTAAAAAAGTCGAGGTATTTCGAATTGTTTGTTGACACGGACAAAGTCAGGG